AAAATTAAATAAGCGATTTAAACAATAAAAGAAAATGTGAAGTGGGGAAAGGTCATCATAGCAAAAAGCAATATAAAATACAAAAGAGGAACTTTAGAAATGAATATTTACCACGTAGCAAATGACAGCTTCTTGCCTATCTTTCAGGAGGGACATGTGTGAATGTACAGAACCACGGTCATATATGCACCCAATGATGCAGAGACACACGTACACATACATCTACCTTCTGAAAGCTGGATCCTGAATGCTTCTAGGGTCTTCATGCTTTTAGAATTTAAAAATGAATTCTCTGCGGCACTCCAATGTGAATGACAATGAAGTTGTTCGTTTTCTATTTTTGACTTGGTGGGGCTCTCTGGGCTTCCGCTCCTCCAGCCAGAAAACTGCGGGTAGTGGATCTCTAAGGCTCACTTCAATGAGTGCGTCCTGGGAGTTTGCATGTCTAGGCTTACACAACAATAGTGTTGAAAGATGACCGAGTTGAACTCTGCTAAAATTTGTAAAACCGTGTTCCAGATACACAAGAAGATGTCAGAAAGCAAATGGACACATTCATATCAACTATCTGAACAGGGAGTTGCATTTCTGAAATCACAAAGGCAGCTTTTCTTCTCACAAAAGGCCAGAATTCTCCACTGTGCCAACAGGATTAAACTTAATTTGAGAATAATCAGTTTCACAAAGTGTGTATGTTTTCAATAGACACAAGAAATCATTCGATCCACTCCTAGGTATTTACCCAAGGGAAATAAAAACATACATCCACATAAACACTTGTACATGATTGTTCATATTATGTTCATATTATGTTATTAATAATAGCCCCCAAATGGAAACAACCCAAATCCCTATCAATGGATGAATGGATAAATAAAATGTGATATGATCACTCAATAAAATATTATTTGAAAACACATGGGAATGATGATCATGCTTCAAAATGAATGAATCTTGAAAACATTCTACTAAATAAAAGAAGTTATCACAAAAGGCCACATATTGTGTGATTCTAGTTATTCAAAATGCCCAGACAGGTAAATGTACACAGAGAAAAGAGAAGTGGTTGCCTAAGGCTGAGGTCAGTTTAAGATGAAATTAAGGGTGACTACTAATGTGTATGTTCTTTAGAAGCAAGGATGGTGAGACTTTGTCTCAAATGCTTTGGACATGTTAGCAGCAGAGACAGGTCTCTGGAAAAGGACACAATGCGTGATACAGTGGAGGGGCAGCAAAAAAGAGGAAGACCCTCAACAAGATGGACCGACACCATGGCTGCAACAATGGGATCAAACATCAGAAAGTTGTGAGGATGGTGTAGGGCCAGGCTGTGTTTGTTCAGTTGTACAAAGGGTCACTGAGTTGGGACCAACTCAATAGTACCGAACAACCATAACAAGCTAATGGGTAGGAAATTTCTTGGTGCAGGTTAATGGGCTCTAGAATTAGAGAGAGGTGATGCTCACACAACTCTGTAAATATGCTTAGTAGACACTTAAAATATGAAAAATATGGTGTACGAACTATATCGTGACAGTGATAAGAAAATAGAAAAGTCATTCCAGGGGGTTTAGCCATTGAGGAGGAAGAGCTGGGCACCATCTCAGGGAGCACTGGGAACACAACAACAGCTGAAGAGATGAAGTCTAACTGTAAACTCTCTGGACTGAATCAGAAACCACTGGTCACTTCTCCTTGAGCAACTCTTGAGGTGTCCACTAAGTACCAAGAACTCGGTGCATCATGCTTTCCCAACTGGAGGGTCACCTCAGTTAGCAAAGTCACGGAAGTCAGAGAGGAGCGCCTGTGTCTTCAATCTATGAAGTGACAAGATCTAAAAGCTCGGGACTGACACGTAGATGTAAGGGTGTTCAAGTACACCAGGACTTGTTTCCTTCAAAATGGAAGCCTGTGGT